GTATTGCTGACCCCCTGTCGGGCTAAGTCTAGCGCCACTCTTGTAAATTGTGATGGCATGTTTTCGGATAATCCTCAGAGATGCTTTCAAAACCATCGCCAGTAGCCCATTGAGCTGCTCTAGCGCGACGTAAATGAAGTATCTACCTATGGTTTGTCTATGGTAAGAACTCCTTCTGCCATTAAGTCTGAGGCCGTCAACTGCTATGGAAATAAGAATAACGCATTTCAGGGAGGGTAGCTTTTCTTCACTCTAGGGTTAACACAATAGGTTGAAGGAAATTATTCCCTTTTTTTCGCCGACCCGAGCCAAAACTAATTCTAAACAATGATCTCACACCTCTACTTGAAATAGTTATACCTCGTTACCGTAGTCACAGCCGCGGGTCCAGACAAATGGATAGGGGAGTATACCTACTTTGTCGTAGAACTTCCAGACATTTTGTTGTTGAACGGTATTTTTCATTTATGCTACACCTGAGAAATATCCATGACATGAGGATGATTCGGAGACAATATACAAACGTCACATCTTGTTTTTCAGGAAGGGTTTATAAGCTTGATTTGATTTATTGAAATTACATACATTTGCTGACTTGTGTGCTCAATATAGGCTTATAAGTCATTGTCAAGTAGAAAATACAGATAGAACAATTCAGAGAAGGACATCACGAAGAATACATCAAGGGTTACGGCGGGATTCGAACCCGCTACCTCCACACTTAACAGAGCCCTTGGACCGGCGATACCGCTCGGCCAGGGAGGACCCGGTTTATAAGCTTCATGTCTGAAGCTGAGCTGTACAAAAATAGGCAGTCATAAACATTTTTACAAATAAAAATAATTTAGATTTGAAAATTGAGTGTGCATAAATTTTAGAACTTGCAGAATCCATTTATTAATCATTTAATAGCTTATTTAGTAAAAAAAGTGATATGACAGTTTGTCGATATTATCTGCAGGGCACTTGCCGGTTTGGGAATCGATGTAGATTCGAGCATGTTGATCCTAGTTATTCCCGCGATTTTAATAATGATTCGAACTATTCTAATCGCAGAAATGATTATGGTTATCAAGATCGGTATAGATCTCAGGAAAATTTTCAAGATAGAGGCAATAAGAATGTGAATCCGGAGTTATCGTTTGGCCCTCGTCGTTATAATAATTTTGAAAAGCAAAATCAAAATTATCGATCACAAAATTATAACCAATATGACAATTATGGATCTAACTATGGACAGTCGCAGCGTAGTGATTCATACGCTAAAAGTTACTATAAAGAGGACTATGGTAAATATGATACAAATCAAAGATATTCATCTCCGGAAAGACAGGGCTCTACTTTCAGACATTCAGATCCTAATAATTCATATGATAGTAACTTTTATAAAGATGATTACGGTAGATATACTACGAATCAAAGGTATTCATCTCCCGAAAGACAAACCTCAAATTCTCGTTATGATAATAGCTTTCCAAAGGGTCAATCTAAATTGAGTGGTAAGTAATTCAAGTTCATTTCAGGAATATTTCTGTATCAGTACTTGTTTGCGCTAAGTATCACTAGGATTTCTTAATTTGCATAAGTTTGAAAAATAAATAGGGTGGTTTTCTCTGATGTGGATACCTACCCTTCTGTAATGTTTTTTTTTCTTCTTTTTTTGAATGCCTATGCTAGGTTGTTGCCATAATTTGACAGCTTTTTTGGTGCAAGTACCAATACAATAGTCTTTCTTATCATGACAATGAATAATAGTATATAATTTGCAAAGATACAATAACAGGGTAAGTAATCCAATGTTCTCAAACATTTAAGTACAGACCCAGCTGAATTCAATGTCAAGTCCTATGTGATCTCCATGGTAGCATATTACACTTTATTTTGCAGTACGTATAAATAATTAGTTGAAATGTTCCATAGATAATGTATTTATTTTTTCTTCTAAACATGCTTACTCAACTCTATAGCATAACTAATCATTTTAGGGTCATTTGTCAGGGGTCTGTCCAGGCCGAATTTACTACCGTTTAGCGGTACCTTCACAAATTCAACTTTAGGAAAAACGATAGTTTCACAAATTCAATTTTGGAAAAACGGTAGTTTCACAAAATACTTTTTCTTAAAATTTCATTTTTGTATCCCTTAAGAAACGATAAATCCATATTTTTGTGTTGATTTCTTAATATAATTTTTAATTTTTCACAAATTACGTCTAAATTTTCGCAAAATAGGTACCTGTCAGAAAAACCTAGACAGACCCCTGTTTGTGTATGAATATGTAAAAAGTTTCCTTTAAGAGTTACTATAGTTGCTATTTTAATCAAGTTAAGTAACATGCATTGTTGTAATAATCTTATCAAGTTTAATTTCAGTACAACCCTTTAAATATTCAACTGGGATACTATCACATACAACTAATAATTTTATTTTAATAATTTTTAAAATGTTAGTCTGTATTTCAGCAGGCCAATTGCAATCACCAAAGAGATACCTCTTGGTTTTTGTACTTGAATTAAAATAAAAAATAATAGTCCTTTGACTCAATTAGCTGAAACCAAATCTTTTAAGTTAGACCCTAGAATTTCTTATGAAGGTTAAGGTACTAATTATATTGTTATAAATATGATAAGTGGGCAAAAAACGTGTGCAAAATTATGATAAAAGTGTGGTAAGTGTGCAATTTAAATTACCTAAATTAATGGGAAATTAATAAATTAGTAATAAAAAATATAGAAGATAAAATTAATTAAACTTATTATGAATATGTAAGTTTTTATATTCATATAAACTTAACTAATTTTATCTTACACTTACATTAATTACTTTTACAACTCTGCACTTCATGTTTTGGGTCATTATTACTGTCATGTGTGGGACGATTTCTCGGGCATTTTCTTTGTTGATTGTTTCATATAGTGTTCAGTAACTTTATGAAACGAAAATCTTATATAGTTTTTATGAAGTACATATAGTAATCTATTTTTTGAAGCTAATAACTCTTTTCAAAGCCATAAAATAAATTGATTATAGCAAGTTAACCAAGTGTCAAGTGCCAGACAGAGATGAAATTGCGTAAATATATTTTTTTAAATAAATCTATGATTTCATCCGATTCAAAGATATTATTTAAACAATATGTTTTTTACATTAATAGTATACTTATGTAAATAGGTCTCAATGATTTTAAATATGTTCAAATTCCTATTTTCATTGCAATTAATTTTTAGACAATAGTTTGTCACTTGTGGGACATCTAGTAAGATTGTACAATGTTCCGCATGGGAAAATAAAGAGCAAAAAAACTTTAAAATTGCTTTTATTCCATTGTAGATTTTTGTTGGGCATTAAGTAAGAGGCACTAAAATATTTTTAATAACTAATGCATTTTTTTACTTAATTTTATTAAATGCTGAATGAAAAATGGAATTTCCAAGCTTTGTTTTTAATGAAGTATATTATAAGATAATTAAGTTAAACAATCTTTTATTTTTTTTCAAGAATTCAAATTAATTCAAGATTCAAATTAATTTTTGATTAAACCTGAATTTATTATGATTGTTTACAATTATGGTTGCAGAATATTTTTTTTTAATTTGTGTTGTCTACCTAATGGGGTACATTCAAAGAAAACAGACCATTTGCATATTCCAGATGAACCCCGTTTTTCATAAATGATTAATGTATGAAACGTATGTCAATTATTTTTCCTGGATGGAACTTAACGTCATGCTATCACTCAGTCCCTCTTTTAAAGAGCTAAACTTTCAACTTTACATTTATAATTATTATAACTTAATTCTTTATCACTGGCATTGAATTTATGGTGCATTTGTTTTGTTTTTCCACCATATATTGCATGTTTTTTTTGTTTGTTTTATACCTGGTACATTTAGTACGATCTCCCAAAGTTTGCGCGTTTCAATTTAATTTTTATTTGTTTTTTCAATTTTTATAAGTTGTGGCAACTTTCGGTCAGAGGCTCGCGAGAAACTGAAAAAAAAAAAAAAATGCAGCAAGAGACCAATTTAAAGGGTAATAACTTGTAGTCAGTCCCGTGCAAATATCTACGTGTCTCTTTTTATAAAATTTTTTTGTTTAAAATAAGTGTGGCACCTTGGCGATTGTAGTTGATATCCTGTATTAAATTAATGTTAAAAAGAGCTATGGGTAATATCTTTCTTTAATATTATTTCCTGTTTTTGCATAGATCTTAATTCAAATTGGGTAAAAGTAAAGTTTAATCGGTTTTATAGTTGCAAAGAAAGAAAAAAAAACTGCTAATTTGTGATGTCATGTGCAGGACAAAAAGTAATATGAATTTTTTCGTCTTTTTATGAAAGCTGAATAAAGTTAATATATTTGCTTATTAGTATGTTTAAATTGCTGTTTAAAAGTAAAATTTGAAATTATTATAATGATTTATTTAGTTGCAATCGAAAGAAAAATGATATTTCCTGTCACCTGTGGGACAGCTATTTAATGCAAGTTAAATTGTTTATTTCTAAAGTGTAAAATTCTTTCAATATTATTAAGTATAAAATTAATAAGTAAAACAACTTACTTTTTCTAGAAGTAGTTTGTTAATTTGATGAAATTAAGTTTAGTAGCTCAAACATGATGCGAAATATACAGATTCAGATGCACGCATTTGTTAATTCCAAAAAGCAATATTTGCCCCCTGTTGATACTCAACAGAGACAAGTTTCTAATAAACAACTTGGAATTCAGTAAATTGGAAATCTTAACTGTTAAATAATGTAAGTTTTGGTATCAGAAAATAAAGATTATTTTTTTACATTTTGCTCTCACTTTTTGTCGAATTACCCTTTTATCCCTTTTTAAATGTAATTCATGTCCAGTCTTGGTACAACATCAAGTTATTCTCCACTTCTGCACACATGACAATCCCATTTAATTCACCCTACATTGAGAAAGCATAATAATTTTTTTTGAGTCTTTTAAAAAGTAAAAAAATTGTTAGCCTGCTTCTGAAGCATTTTACTTTTTATCATAACAAATCTGAAAATTTTTCCTTATTTTTTTAGTAATCATAAATTTACTACATAACTTATTAATTTAAGCTTATATTAATGATAACTAGCGTCTTTAGCTTGATTATTACCTGGGGTCTGTCCAGGCCGAATTTACTACCGTTTAGCGGTACCTTCACAAATTCAACTTTAGGAAAAACGGTTGTTTCACAAAGTACTTTTTCTTAAAATTTTATTTTTGTATCCCCTTAAGAAACGATAAATCGATATTTTTGTGTTGATTTTTTAATATAATTTTTAATTTTTCACAAAATAGGTATGTCTAATTTTCACAAAATAGGTACCTCTCAGAAAAACCTAGACAGACCCCTGATTACAAATGAATAAGGCTATAAATTCTAAGCATTTAGTCTTTTGTTAGTTTTGTGTCCTTTTTCATGTCATAATGCAAACAACTTTCTTTTATTGTAACAAATGTGCAGTATTTACAGAGGTTCCAACTGTTATGATTTATTCATAGTTGTTACTATTTCATTGTATAAAGATCAAGGTGTTTAGAATTTTCATAATAATCTTTTAAAAAAAGGTTTTTTCCTTAATTACCAAGAGTTAGGAAATTTTGTTGTTTGCAGCAAATATTGGAAATAAATAAGTAGCATATCAGTGTTAATTTTTTATTTAATAGTAAAATCATGCATAATATTATTAATATTAGGTATATACCTAATAGAGTTTAGTAGTAAACACACCTTGAAAATTGCACTAATTTGAATTTTGCTAACGTTATCTGTATAATTGTACTTCTGTTTACTGTTAGCTAGTTTGGAAAGTTGGCACCTCTATATTTATTATTAATTTTTGTATTATTTTTAATTATTAAACTTTTTAGAAAAATATGTGTCATGTGATGATTATTTTTGAAGTTTCTTTTTGTAATTTTTCAGATTCTTCCCAATTTGATAAAAAGAAGTATGAATGGGTATCAGATGATTACAAAAAACATCATCAGAAAAAAGAGCAGACTTACCAGCAAACACCTAAATACCAAAGCAATAAAACTTTTAGTTTCAAAGACTCAGACAGTGATAAAAATGAAGACATAAATGAAGAAAATATGATTCTGGTTGAGTAAGATAATTTCTTTATTTTATAATTTTTCTCTTTTATATATGAAATGACTAAGTATTTATCGTTGTACTATATTCAGCTTCTCACGTTCTTCCAATTAGAAGTTTAAATATTTAAGAAATACTTAGAAATTTAAGATACATCATAAACAGTAATTGTTAGTTGCTTATTTATTACTTGTTGAAAAATTTTCAGTACATTAAAAGATTAAATAAAAAATTGTTTGTGTTTTTAATTGTTTCAACTTAAATTTTGAATTATTTATTCAATAGTTTTACTATTGATTTTTAAGTTTTATAAAAATTAACATAAATATCAAAAGATTAAAATAAATTTAAAAAAAAATATTTGGCTTCTTAAAATTTTTTTGTTTTCGCTTCAAAGATATTTTTAATTCCTCTATAAGCATAATCACTCATTAAAAAATAAAAATATTAAAGTTCTAGACATTGGAGTTTTCCAGTTTTGTATTTGAAATAAAAAATTTTGTAAGAAGCTTATGACATATCTTTAAAACTAACAGGAATCCCGCCCCCCTGTTTGAAACTACCTAATGCAAACAGATCAGATCCATTTTCACTGTTATGTCTAACTCTGCTATAGCAAAGGCAACATCATTGTCTATAGCTGTTTGTGAAAGAGGTTTTTTAAATGCTAAACGGAATAAAAATTTATAAAATAATTTGACTGAAAAACAGTAAGAAATATTAGCTTGAATATCAAAGCATGGACATGAATTTAAAGAACAATATAAATATTTGTGATTTCAAATTTATATACAATATTTCAAATTTGATAATGATTTAAAATTGTGGAATGTGAAAAAAAGATTCTATAAATATTTTTACGATAATAAAATGTTTTTTTATACAAAATATGTCAACTGTAAATTTAAAAAATCAAAATATTAGCATTTGTTTTGCCATGTTCTATTATCCTATGAGGTTAATGACCACATTTTTTAAAAATATTTATCTTATATATTGTTATTTTTTCAATAATTCAATAAAAATAGCCAAAACAGACTTTTCAAATACCCAAAAGAAAAAAAAAATTTTTTTTTCTAAGTAAACCTATTTTAGTAGTCCTTTGTATTATATTTTGAGGGAAAAGGAAAAAATTTTGCATATTTTAATATGTATTATCAAGACAATATTTCATGAAGCCAGTTATACAAATTCTATATTGTATGCCGAGGGTTGAAAAATTTCAATTAGTTTAATTAAGAGGCCGGGATAGCCTGGTTGGTAGGGCACTGGGCCCATGTCCAAGAGTTCAAGGATTCGATCCCCGCTGGCCAAAGACCCCCGTAAATGGTGACTAGTGCACATTAAATCTGTCGAGTTGCAAGGTCTTCCATGTTCCCGTAACAAATCAAAACCTCTGGGGGTACTGATCCAGGAGTTTCCTTGTCTTCTGGATTGGTTTAAAATTACAAGGCTACGGAGTTGGACATTAGTAGTCGTAAACCCAAATATTGGGTCGTCGGCTGTTCAACGACAAATATAAAATAAAATAAAATTAGCGTAATTAGCACAGGTTGATTACCAATCCTTTTTAATTTCTTTTTTCCTAAATAAACAATTTTGTACTGAATTGTATATGTATATATATATTTTGCAATTTGAAATATTATATGACAATGTGCAAACTATATATTTTATTGTAACTTTTGCATAGAAAATGTTGGGAAGGTGAAAATCTGATTGGTGCAGTTTAGGTGTATTAATTGGACTTGTGCAGAAGAAAAGCTCCCTATGCGGCTGAAAATTATTAATAGAATATTATTATTTGTGAGGTTTTTTTAATTTGTTTAGTTAAGGTTAATTTTTTTCTCTCTTTTTCTTCTCTTTTCAATCTTTTTTTATAATGAAATCTGCAAGAGCGGTATCATTACAATTTTGTAGTATGCTGAAGCCACCCTTTTATCAAATCATTGTTTCCAATTTGTAAACTAAAATTTTTGTATAGCATATCTTTAAAATAATGAAATCTTTACTTTTTATTGTGTTAATAATTAGAATATTAATTTTCTCAAGTTTTGAAAGCATATAAATAAAAAAAATTCATCCTGCTTCTAATGAACATGTGGAAAAAAAAATTACTGGTGTGAATAGTAGTTCTTAGGGAAATCAAAAGGTGAGAGTTAAAAAATTATGAAACAGGGACTGTAAAGGAATCCTAATGAAAACCGTTTTTGAATTAAGAAAAATTTTGGAATGCTTACTGTCAGTGATCATTACTTATTAAATAAGTTCAATCTATCTTCAATTGATGTCAGAAAAACGCTAGATAATTTAAAATCAATTTTACTTCTTAGAAATAGGAATATTAAAGTTGCGAAAACTGTCTAACAATGTTGAATTTTAAATTTTGATAATCAAACAATTATGCTAATATTTTAAAACTCTTGTGTGAATTAAAAAAATATTGTTTTTCTTTAATTAAAATGTCAAATGTAGATTCAGTAAATTTAAATATAAATGTAATGATGAATTTATCTTATAGTTTATTTGTGAAGTTTAATTTTGAGTTTTTTTTCCAAAGTGTAGACAGTTTATAATTCTTTGAAAGGACATGATTTCAATTAGAGACCTTCATTATACATTAGCAAATCATGATTGCCCTGGTGTATGTCAAAAAGAGCTTCTTGAGCTGAACAGGGGATTAGCTTGAGGAAGATCATTGGTCTTCTGACTGGTCACTGCACCCTCAGGAGACACCTCTATATTATGGGTATTACACCCAATCCTCTTTATTGTGGTTATCATCTTGAGGAGGAGACTTCACAGCATATCCTTTGTGAGTGTGAGGTCTATTCTGCTCAGAAATTTGAGCGTTGTGAACTACACTGTGTTAAGGCCTGGCTGGAAATTACAAGATTTTCCTGTCAGATGTTTGTTGAACTTTGTTTCAGCTATAAAGCTATTCCACTAATCATGATCTAGGGTTTGGGTACAATAAGCCTCTGGTAAATGTGCTTTGCTCCTCGGAGCTGCCCAACCTCTAAGTCTAGCATATTTGATAGCAAATCTTTTGTTTGTTGAATTAGTGATGATACCTTCTTGATTTCCTTTTGTATAACTCAAGGTGATTTTTTTTCTCAAAAGAATCATTTTTATTTGAATATTGATAATATTTTATGAAGTTGCAGTTTTATTTTGTTTTGATTTTTTCAGGAGAATTAAAGAAGACATAACTTCTTGGGAGCTTGGAAATCAGTGGCCTTTTACATGTTATAGTCCTTTACCTAAAAAAGGAGATTTACCAGGATTCAGTGACATTTCATTTGAAGAACTTCGATATGAAGCATTACAAGCTGAAGAAAACAATTCTTTTAATTATTTTGTAAGTTTTTTCTTTTTTTTAAATTTGTAAATTCTCTTTGTGGATATGTACATATCCATTCATCGGTCTGTTCATCCATCCCTCCATTCTCATGAATAAGTAAATTTTTAAAAAAAAAAATTACTTCCATTTTGAAATATAATTTAATTAATTATTTAATAGGTTTTTACATTTTATATTAAGTTTAAAAAATTTTTATTCACAAATTACTAGGTGTTACAAATTCATTCCCATACATATAATCACTAGGTGTTACAAATTTGCATTTATTCATTCCCATTAAAAATTTCCCAAATGCTACAAATTTATAATGAAACACTTTTATTTTTCATTACTTGCTTATGAAACTTCAGTGAGTAATTTTATTACTGGGAATCCATACTAAAAATACCAATGGATTGCATGTTTAGTCTAAGGCACAGCATTCTTTCATGTTAAAAATAATTTTCTGTGTCAATATGATTAATGCTCGATCATTGTTCTCTTGTGAAATTTTTTTATTTTATTACAATGCCTTGATAGTTATCCTGGGTAGTAGCAATGCCACATTTACCCTTTCTCATGATGCCTAACATGGTGCAACCTGTCCTTCTGGTGCACTTGTTGTACCAACTGTAATTAAAAGATTGGGAAGAATAAAAACTTTGTGATGATAATAGAAAAAGTAAAAAACCAATGCTAAATCTCATTAATATATTAACATAATTAAAATTATACAATTTAATATTATAAATAGTATATTGTATTTATGCAAATTAAAATTTAACATCTTCAGGGGAAAATAAAATATAAAAAAATGGGGGTGAAAAAAATTACAAGCGAACAGTTAGAAATAAATAAAACATAAAACTGGATCAGTTAATAAGAAATTGGGCATTGAAAGATATAAAAATACATTAATGATACATACCATCTTTTATCAAAAGAAAAACTGATGAAATAAAAGAAGAAAACTCATAATATACCACCTCAATAACTTTAAATCTACCAGGTTGTAATGGTGTCTACATCCGGAAGTGCAGCCAAAACATAAAATGCTTACATATGTTGCAGAAATGTGGTTTGATAGAAGGGTCATTAACTTAAGATGTATTGTTTTTTAAGGTGGAGGACCTGAAAAAATCAAAGTCAATAGAAGAAAAACATTGAAGAAAAATTTATATCTACCGTTATTATGGTAGATGAACTGAAATTATTATTATTATTATTATTATTATTTTTTTAAATTAGCGGTGTTGAACTATGGATGAATGCAAAATGGTGATTTTTCGATGTAATATGCATTTTGAATCTGAATTCTATTGTGTGTTTGGAGTTTTTAATATAGAACAGACTACATTTGCAAGAAATTTTTTAAACTTAAAAAATTGAGCTTGTTGATAGGTGAAGAAATAAACTTAAAACTTTTTTGAAGTGTTGCAAATTTGATTGCTGATTTTGAGAAAAATGAGAATACAAAAAAAATTTGGAAAATTAAGTTAGCATATATTAATATATTTTACTTATAGTTGATGTATTAATATATATGATATAGTTGATATATTAATATATATGATATAGTTAATATATTTTACTTATGTATCAATCATAGTAAGTGTGAAACATTGATTGCAGACCACAGCTGTAAGGAGATTTATTTCTGCTTTTCAAATTCATGGAATATAATGATGTAAAGAACACAAACAACAAACATGTTTAAAGCAGGAAATTTCTGATTAGGAGGGTTAGATAAAGGACAATGAAAGAGGGAACAGCTGCACATTAAATGTAATTTTAGTATTAGAACAAATTTGTTAAACTCAAAAAAAACTTTGCTCTAAAAAAGTAAATAAGCTAACTTAAAAAAATATTGAAAAATGTCTTTCAGATTTTATTGATAATATTTTTTCTTTAATTATTTTTTTTATAATCAATTTTATTATTTATTTTAGGTTGAAAATATTAATAAAGCCCTACTGGATGTTCAAAATAGAAGAAGCAAACTTAAAGAGCCTACTGAAGAATTGCTATCCACAATTGTAAGCATATATAATTTTTTCTTTTCTCTTTTATTTGAATAATTTATACTATGTAGTAGGATTTTGATAATTCAAGTTAATTTATACTGTAATCAACTCACAAAATGAATAATTCTAATAAATTTACTTGGAGTTATACAGTAGGGAACCGATTATCTGGAATGATTGGGACCATCGCTATTCCGGATAACTGATTTTTCCGGTTTTCTGAATCGCTACAAAAAGCCATTTTTTTATTGTTAAACCCAACTAAAAAAAAAATATTAGGAAATAATCTTAAAAAGAAAAAAAAAACAATGAAGTAATACAGTAATGATTATTTCTAAAATGATGGTATGGTAAACATCTTTCAAAAAAGAAAGAAAAATCCTAAAATCTTATGAGGAAAAAAATTTTTTTTNTTTTTTTTAAATGGGGGGGAAATTTATCGAATTTCGTTCCGGTTTTTTGGTTTTCCGGTTTTCTGAGTTCCGGATAACGGGTTCTGTACTGTATATTTAATAGTGAAAAAGACTTCACTAGCTTCAAAGATGTAAATGAGGATAGATTAGAAAATATGGAAAAAGTTGACATGTTTTAAACCCTCCAAAACAAGACACTCTCTATTAAGACTCAATAGATATGATAGAGTAAAGCAAAATATATCTGGGAAAAAAACAGCAACAAAAACTTGCCTTTAAAGTATGGAAAATAAAATAAAGGTGAAAATCAAAACACAATATACAAGGGAAATGATGGTGGGATTGAGAGAAAAATCAAGCCAGGCTTCATTTTTAAGCAGTATGAAGGGGAGGGATGTTGTGGAACTCATGTTGTTAACTAATGAATTAACATTCATATGAATGAAACAAAATACTAGATCATCAGAAGTGAAAAGAATTTTGATGTTATCAAACTTTTTTAAGTCAGTTTTGTTTTCCCCTTTGTGCCTGTTGGATCTTGAGCATGGGCGCCTTGCTTTCGAATGTTCAAAAGCATACCAAGTTTTTCATTCTTTATACATTTTTTTTGCTAATGATGTATTTCCTCTATCAAGCATAGTCAACTCTGTTCATAAGTGACATTAAAAAAGTATAATAATAATCCAATGTATTACTAAAGAAAATAATTTTTGGAATTTAATAAAGGTTAAAATATGCATTTTATGTCTTTACTTCCGTTAAATAAAATCTTGTAAATTTAGTTATTTTGTGGTCTCTTTTTCTTTATTTTAAAATTTCATTTTTTATTTTGAATGAGTTAAATTAATGTTAATTGTTATTTTACTAGTTGTTAATGCTTAGTACTTTAAATATGTTTTATGTCATGTATATGCTCATATAAATCCAATCCAATAAAATTTAAGCAATCCAGCTGTAATTTAGAAACGAGGGACAAAAAGCAGTTAGATATTTCATTAGTCATAGTTTTTTTTTTATTGAACTCTTACTGCTTTTCCTCTTCCATATACTTATCAGTTTCTAAAGAAAGGTTCTAAATGATCATGTGAAAAACTTGAAGTCTAAGCTAAGTTTTCAGTGAATGAGGTTCATTTTAAGTAAAGAAATGTTTTAATTTTTTATAAATAAAAAAAATGCTACTCAATTTTTTAAATGTTCTAAAACTTACGTTGAAAAGGATTTGATTAATAAGTCTGAAAAAGACCAAGTATAAAAAATCAAGTAAAAAGATAGATGAAATTAAGCAATTCTATTTTTGCAACCAATCAAAAGTAAAATAATTATATGATTGGAAAAAATCAATAAGTTACTTCAAAATTACAAACACGCTAAATTTAGCAAAAAACAATCCTGAATTAGTGAATAAGACTTTTTGAAATTTCCAAATTGTATTTTGATTCTGATATCTTATCTTAGAGGAAACTTTTAAGTGCATGCTGTACAAAAAAATATCTATGCATTTCTATTACCTGAAAAATTATCGAAAGTAATCAACAGAATTTTATAACTTAGCAGATAACACTCACTTCCTCAAGAAGAGTTATACTGAAAAAATTCAAGAGACTGTGAAAAACTCTTTATGCAAAAATCCATGTGTAGGTAGAAAGATACAAAAATGAGAAAGTATTGTCGATTTATGTAATACTATTGAAAAGTATAAAATTTTGTTTTGTAATAATTAAAACCGGAAAAAATGAAATGGGTGATGGTGTTTATGAATTTAGTATTTTAGGGATTAAATACTTTTCTCATTTATTTAAATAATAATTATTTAGCTCCCGTAATCAATTAGAATTAATTATCGAAGATTTAAATTGGTTTACCGAAATATTAGATTTAAATACTTGAATTACAGCAATGTGTTGGAGGTAGCTTTGTTGACTTCATAAGGTGACAAGTCACATTTTTCACCTTATGAAGTCAACAACATTTTGCAATCCTACAATTTGGAAGAAAAAGGAAGATGTTTAAGGAACTAAATTATATTTAAACTGGGACATATGTTGAACATTAAAACATGTGTAATTTATAATATATACTACACTATTTATTTATCGGCATTTAATGAATTAAAACTATAATTCTATTTTATTTTCGAAATTTTGAATAATAAATATTTGAAACATTTATAATTTAATCTGAGGTTCAACAATAAAGATTACATTTCTGTAAACAAAGCGAAGTGAATCATAAACTATAAACAAAGTCAATCATAATAATTAGTTAGGTATGCATCTTCAAATAATTTTTTTTTTAGAAGAAAAAGAAAGAAAGTAAGTAGAAAAGTTAAATTTGAAATTGACAAATTAAATGTGTTATTTATTACCAAATAACACATTAAATTTGTATCTTAAATTTAGTGTGTTTTTTGCCAGTAAATGTTGATAATTTCACAAACTGTCTAGTCTAGTATTGTTGTGAGGAGGAAGTAAATTTTGCTTTTAATGTGGCATTAAAGGTTTGCTGACTTTATATTATGTAGAATTTGTGAATTATGGCAATGTTCATTGATATTTATAATGTAATTTTTTTTTTCAAGACAATTAACTTTGTTTGTGCTTAAATTTCAATAAAACCTTTGTTTTGATTTCATATTTTAAAATTATTATCTTATTTAATTTAATGTTAGATATGTTAATAATTTAAAATATTTTCTTTTCAAAAGGAAAAATTAAGAGCTGGAGAGTTTCTGATGAAAGCAACTGAAACTAAAGGCAAGTTTATTTCTTATTTTATGGCTCTTTTTAAACTTTTTTTAAACACAATTTTTAAAGTCATTGTGGATTAATGTAAAGAAATATCAATTCACAAAAAGAAAAATAATTACGATTGTGCCTCTCAAAAATATGATTGACATGATTAAGATAAATCATGATTTAAATCACTTGATTTTTTTTAAAATCTATTATTTTAGCCAAATGAATAAAAAAAAATGAATTCAAGTCTTAAATATATCTTACGTAGCGTAATTAATATTTTTAGTCTTATAAATATCTGATCTCATTGATGATAAACATTTTATACTAAGAAATAATGACAGGAAAATTTCAAAAAAGAATAATAATAAATTAAAAAAAAAAAAAAAACTAAAAGGGAATAAGATTGTCATGAAACTTTTAAATTTTATATTTGCTGTATGTGAAATAACTTTTTGGTTATAAACATGTTTCAATTATCCCATTTGGTTTTATGTTTAGTCAAACACAAACACTTTTAAGACTTGGAAAAATTTTTTAAAAAAGGAAAATTGTAAGTAGAGTATGTGTAGACACTTTTAGTAATCCTATGTCATTGTAATTTTAAAAAATTATTCATTTCAATTAATCATTTTCTTATAAAATACAAACTTGTGTGAAAAAATTTTTTTTATTGTTTTGAAAACTGTTTTAAAAGATATAAATTCAAATTTGTAGAATTTAAATTTAGTTAATTAGTATCAAATACATATTCTTCTTAGGTAATGGAAGGACTATGTGCTCTTAAATTATGTTTTGTTTTGTGTTCAGAGATTATTATTGCTCTAAGTTTTAATTTAAAATACACAATAAATGTTGTGGAACATAAACAAAAATATTTTTTCGCAGTTAATCCAATTTTTGTACACCTACAAAGATAAACTTTTTTTCCCTTGAGCAGATAACATATTCTAATAATGGAACTTTATGTCTTATATATCTATGACTGACAGTTCCTCAATCATGGAATGTACCTGAGGGGGAGGAACCCTCTCATATTAAATTGAAGATAACTATGACAAAAATCAACTAAACATTTATTAACAACTGAATTGAACTTTTAGGTTAAATATCCTAAAATATATTTCTGGGCAAGACTGGGGAGCAGATGCTACAACTTTGAAATTAACATACACTGCACTTATTAGACCCATACTGGAATATGGGGCACCTATTTATTCCTGTGCTTCAGAGACAAACCTGAATAGATTGGAAAGAGTCCAAATTAGTGCTGCAAAAATTATTACAGGTTTGAGGCGTAGCTGTCCAGATAAAATTGTTCTGTTTGAATCTGACCTCCAACCGTTATACATGAGAAGGAACTCCAGTCTCAAGAAATACTACAATAAGCTCATCAGTTTTGGTGACCAGAACAGAACCTCTTACTATCTCAAAAATTGGAAAAATAACCATAGACTGAAGAGAAACAGTCCCTTCTCTTTGGCTGTTTCAATTCACCTTGTAGACTTGCAATATCCCTGCCGAATTGAACCTCATTCCTTGAGGTCATGTTTTAGCCCTGTTACTGATTTTTCTGGTATCCATTTCCATACGGAGCTGTTGTACCCGGCCCATAAAAGTAAAGACAACCCAGAATTTATGAGACAAATGGCTCTTGAAACTATTAGCCAAATACCATCAGATGCTTTACAACTATACACAGATGGCAGCAAGAGCGACGAAGGTCATTCAGGTAGTGGGGTTTTTATTAAAACACCCACGTACACATTGAGTCTCAAATTTAGAAATTCTGAATTTTGCTCGGTTTTCAGATCTGAGCTTATTGCGATTGAAAATGGCCTAAGACATGTTGAGAATATTGCTGAGCCTGACTTTAAGCATATATGGATACTGACGGATAGCAAATCTTCAATCCAACACCTTAGCAACTGGATGAATGTTGGAGACAGGGCTGCGGCTTCAATTTTGGGGATGCTCTTCAGGCTCTCAGCGGACTTTGGGGTACACTTCCAATGGATTCCATCACACGTTGGAATCAAAGGTAACGAGATGGCGGACTCACTGGCTAAAGATGCTTCTTTGGAACCTCTACAGCCAGATCTACCTTCCACTTTCAACGAGGTCTTTTCAGAGTGCAAAAAAATGTTTATGGACCTCTGGAGGGTTCCTCCTCCGCATAGTTGGTATTTCAGAAAACGACCTGGAAGTGCCTTGCTTTTTGAGGGACCTAGAAGCCAGCAGACTTGTTTATCTCGCTTTGCAAGTGGTCACTTGAGGTGTCTCTCGTATGTTCAGGGGCAAAAGACTTTTGGACTTTGCACTAAATGTAGGACTGCTCAGGCTTCGCCCGAGCATATTCTAAACTGTATCGATTTTAAGATCGACGAGGTTTTTTCAAAACCTCATCTGTTTTTAGACTTCCTGGACATTTTTGGACTTATGGAATTGGTCTAATTGGGATGGACCTCTTGGGGATTAGAAACAACAACAACATTAACAACTGAAACATAACAAGCTAAAAAACAGAAAAGTAAAATTAAGTATGAGTGTGTGCACAGAGTAATGTTCGAAGCTTCTTAAATACTGAAGAAGGATACGAGGTTGCCGATATTGCAGCGTACGTCATCCAGCTTCTTCCTTTGTCGACTACACACCATACCTGGCGCCACGTCACTCCCCACCGGAGTTTCATAGTCATCAGATTCTGAAATGAACTCTTCTTCCATACCGAGTAACGTACTTCTTTAAGTCCGGTACCTTTTCTGCCAAAAGAGACTCGGAAGTTGTAGTTGAAGAATAGTCAGACTGGCCAGGAGAATCACTGTGGATTAAAGAATGGGGCTCGTCCACTGGCAAATACGCTGATTTCAACCTGTCACTGGAAATCCACTTTTTCTTCGTGGAGATCTGCAAAAAATAAATTTTAGATTTTCTCTTAAGAACTGAATATGGACCATCATACGGAGGTTGTAATGGTCTCTGTACGGCGTCATGTCGCACGAACACATGCATACAAGTCTGAAAATCTTTAGGCACATAAACGACTCGTTTGTCATGCCAAACAGAAGCTACAGGCTTGACCTCACTAAATGCTTTAGACAACTGAGAAATCAATTCAGACTGCGAGATTTCATTTCCCGAGTTAGTAAAGAACTCTCCGGGAACTCTCAATGTTTGCCCATAGACTAACTCAGCAGAAGAGAAGTTCCAATCCTTCCAAACAGCAGTCCTCAAACCCAGGAGAACTAATGGTAAATTATCAAGCCATGAATCTGTAGTACAGTAGAACCTCGAGTAACCGAGATTCGATTAACCGAGGCAATAACAAAGTCTAATTTTTTTTTTCTCCTGTCCAAAATGAGCTTGGAAGAAATTATACACATTATATATATTAGTTCGTTGTCGGTGTTACAGGCACTTATTCCCCACAAAAGCACTCAACTTCCATGAAATATTACACCCTGAGAAGACAACATCCATGAATGCTTTGTTAACAGTGGTCATGTGACTTGTAAGTTTAATCATGTAAATTTTGAAAATACAATATTTTCTTGAGATTTGTGTTATTTTTGAAAATGCGTCTTTCGATTTTTAACTAAGTATAGTTAAAAAAAATTCCATTTTACTTTTTAAAATTTACTACTAGAGTTGATTTCCTTTATAAATCTTTTTAGCTGGGAAACATAAGTTCATATATGTTTATTTTTATCATTTAAAAAACGTTCTATTGTTTTTTACTTTAAAAGTAGTTAAATTCGCAAGCAGGGAAGGTTTTTATACATGGTTTTTGTTAACCGAGATTTCCGATATCCGAGGTACTAGCGGTCCCAATTAGCTTGGATAATCGAGGTCTTGTCTTTTTGGGACAATGTCTTTTTGAATTGAAGACCAAACATATGTACACATAACTGTCTTTAAGTAGATCGGGCACTGATGTGTGCAAGATTATGTACAGAATCAAAAATCATTTTTCGAAATTTCATGGGAAGAATTTCATTTCTTCATCAGAATTAGGCAATACAATTAATTTAAATTTAAGATTAGTAACATCCGGATTTTTTAAATATGCCTGTAATTCCTTATCAGTCAACTGCTCAGCTGCAACTTGCACATAATCAATTTTGTCAGGAAAAGCAATTTCTTCTACCCTTGACAAAGCGTCTGCCACTGAAGTTTCTGTGCCTGCTAAATATCGTAAGTTACAAGTAAACTGTGATATAAATTCTAGTTGTCGTAAACGTCTGGGAGAGCACTTTTCAAAACTTTGGGCAAAGGCGTGTGTCGAAGGTTTGTGATCAGTTATAACATGAAATTCCCTTCCTTCCAGCATATAACGAAAATGAATTATTGACAAATAAATCACCAAAAGTTCTTTGTCATAAACGGAATATTTAACTTGGGCATTATTTAACTTTTTGGAGAAAAAGGATAAAGGTATATAACCAGACGCAATTTTTTCATGTAAAGCGCTAGCTACTGCAATGTCACTAGCGTCCGTAAACAGCACTAACTGGCAATCAGGTGCCGGGTGAGATAGCAGAGTAATGTTTACGATGCTTTCTTTGCATTTTTCGAAAGTATTTTCTAACTCTGCAGTCATCAATATAAGCAAATACAAAATCTAAACCATATAAAACTTCGTTAATAAAACGTTGGAAGGTTTGAGGTGCATTACACAAAACGTAAGGCAGATACAAAAATTCGAATAACCCAAAAGGTGTTATTACTGCAGTTTTCTTAATGTCTTGTTTTGCTGCGGGGATTTGATTATATGCTTTAACAAAATCTATAATACTAAAAACTTTCTTGCCATACAAATTTTGAGAGAAGTCCTGCAAATTTGGTAAAGGATATTTATCAGGCCGAGTACAGGCGTTTAAAGCTCTGTAATCGCTGGTAGGTCGCCAATCAGAGTTACTTTTTGGAACCATGTGTAGGGCACTGGCCCAAGGACTTTTAGATGGCCTACAAATACCGTGTTGCAGCATGAAATCAAATTCAAATTTGGCAGCTTGAAGTTTAACAGAATTCAATCTGCGAACTTTTGAAGCGACCGGAGGACCAATCGTGTTAATATAGTGCACTGTATCACGTCCGGGTCACCAATTGAGGGGAAGGAACCCTCTCATATTAAGCTGAAGACAACTATGACAAAAATCAACTAAACATTTATTAACAACTGAAACATAACAAGCTAAAAAACCGAAAAGTGAAATTAAGTATGAGTGTGTGCACAGAGTAATGTTCGAAGCTCCTTAAATACTGAAGAAGGGTACGAGGTTGCCGATCCTGCGTACGTCATCCAGCTTCTCCCTTTGGCGACTAAGCACCATACCTGGCGCCACATTCCTTTAACTATTCTTGAAAAATTTAATTGCACTCCCCCCCCCCAAAAAAAAAATTATAATTAAAAAATATTATGCTTATATTCCACAGTAAACTGGTTATTAATGGAGGATGGTCATTCTTAGGGGTTACCTCCATTGACTTTAAAATGCTATAAAAGATATATGATATTTTGCAAGCTACTTTAATTTCACTCAGTGTCATTTCTTGGTGCAGAAATACCATTTGTATTGGCTTCATGAAAACTGGATCGATGAATAAAATTTAGCTTCAATAAAAATGGCCCTTACTGATACAATTATGTGTAAAAACAAATTTACCAATTATGAATCAATGAACTATTTAAATAAATAAACAATTATTGTTTTTTGTTTAAGTTTGTTTTTAATTTTATAAAGTGAAAAATTATTTGTTTAAGAAATTAGAAAGGGTTTGATTGTTTGAGATGCTTGGTTTTTTCTGAAACAACTTTTTTTTTCTTCTAATTTAACTGTAAACTCTAAAAATAAATCATTGATAGTATTGTTTTTAATGCACTTTGACTGCAACATGATCTCTTTCAGAGATGTCAAAAAGAGCTGTCTTAATAGCAGCAACTCTCAAATATTTGAAACTATTTATTTTAGTTAAAAAATTTTTTATTTTGATCTTTTTCATTCTGATATTTTTTCGTGTTTCCGTATTTGACCTTTTTGGCATTTGGTGCAGAGGTTTGCCGGATTGCTGGGAGAGGTTTTGATACTCTCTCCTAAAAGGTTTTCTTCAACGCAAAGTCTATGAAAAAATTCAGTACGTGCCAAAAGTGGTCATAAATAGAAGAGGTCGCTACACAGAGGTGGTATTTCCTGGAGGTTTCACTGTAGTATATTGTTTTAAGTGTATTAATTCTTTCAAATACAGTCAAACCCCGCTATAGTGAACACGGTTTATAGTGAACTCCCGGATATAGTGAACGAAATGTTAGGTCCCGTGCCTTGCTGTACACGCATAATGTTACTTTTTGTGGATATAGTGAACCAAAAAAGTGAGGAAGTTGGATATAATGAACTTTTTTCTGTTTTCAACTGATTTTTTTCTTCATTTTTTTGTAATAATTTTGAAATTTTTACTTTAAAATAAATACATATACCGATTTTTAAAACCATCTATAAAGGGGAATTTAGCGATAAGCTTCTTTTATCTCACTTTCCCATCTCTAAACAAACCAAGCAGATAGTGCACCTGTAAGGTGTCAGTGGGATCAATATGAATTTTCTGTCAGGATTTTCATCAGCTAAAGATTACTAAATTTTTTTTTTTTTGTGAGCAAGACGAAGAGTAATGAAAAATAACATATTTTTGGCTACTAAATAATATTTTTCTGTCATTTATTTAAATAATGTGTAATAAAAGGGAGGAGTTTGGGAACCATTAGTTAACTTGCCTGCGGAACGGATATAGTGAACTCCCGGTTATAGTGAACCGAAATTTCGGTCCCTTGAAGGTTCACTATAGCGGGGTTTGACTGTTGCTTATTTACGATATGTTCAAGTTTAGAATAACATTTCTACGATGTACTTTCACTGCAATAAAAATAAATCATTTGAATATTTCTAGTTGAACATAATTTATTAAATAGTAAAAAAAAAATTTTTTTTTGCATAAAGTACGCTGATTATTTAATTTAATAATTCCACAGATTTTGTTCCACTGATGAATTTCACCCAAACTGTTTCTGAAGATATTGCTGATGAAATTCCTTTGAACACCCAAAGTTCCATGTCTGCCTCATCTTTCAGCTTCAAAACATCATTAGATAAAGATTCACCCATGAAAACTAATACATCTGCGTCTTTCAGTTTCAAAACTGCTCCTGATCAGACCACTTCTGCATCTTCTTTCACCTTTAAAGTGCCAGAGACTGACAAACTTCCAAGTACTATGTTTTCTTCAAAAGATTTGGATGTTCCTGATCCAATTTATACTCCCATGGACCAGTTGTCAGAACAAGATAAGGAACAGTTTTCTGCATCCACTTTTACTTTAGGGAAAATACCTACAGTTCCTCCTCCCAAAGTATTTTGTTTTTGATATCTTATAAAAAGCTTTTTTCATCGCATAAATCATCATTCTTTGGCCAAATACTGTCCTCAAACGGTCAAAATAATATCCTCTGCCTTCCAGCCAAAATTTTATGGGAAGAAATTGTATAAACAGCAGAGGAGATTTCATTAATGTTTTTAAATTCCATAGACTTTTAAATAACATCCAGACTTTAATTTCAAAAAGTCTAAATATTAGTTAAGGGTGTTGAAAATTTTAAATCTTTCGACATTTTTGATTTTTTTTAGAAAGTTTTTTTTTTGTGCCGTTTTGGTTGACTGCAATTTTGTTTCCCAAAACATGTTAAACAAAGACAAATATAGATAAAAAATGTATTTAAAAATTGAATGCGAAAGTGATTATTGAATAGTAAAAGAATTATGAAAATTATGCTTTATTTTTTAAAATTTACTACTTTAATTTTATTAAAAAAAGACAAAGTGTGCAAAATTTCAGTCAGAAAATATTACACATATATTATGATTTTGTAAATCTTATGTATAATTCATTATCTGAATTTTTTTTCTTCCATATTTAAAACATAGGGATGATGATTTTATTACAGTGAGAAATATTTAAATTATTATCAATTGCTGTATAAACTAAATTCATTACGTTCCATAGAAGACAATTTTTACTTCTGACGCCTTTTTCCAAAAAATATTGTCCACCTTTATTTTATTACATAGTATTTAAACCTCACATCCGTTTTCTTTTTATTTTTCTTATTTATATGATGTTGATATTATTCTTTGATTCTCTTATATAAAAGAGTTTAAGGGAAAATTATGTTTTATAAAGTGGAACTTATAGTTTGTATATATTTTGTATGATATTTAAAATAAAATATATTTTTATGAGCAGACTCCCATGCCTTTTCCCTTTTTTTTTAATATATCACTTTTTATACTGTAAATTATTTTATTTCCAGTCATTAATAGAGACTATTTGGCTGTATTAGAATTTTTAACTTTCGAGCATTATACTTTTATAAATTTTGGGGACTTGGCTTTTAAATTGGTTATTTTCAACTTGTATATAACATCTGAAAGTAAACATGTAAATATAAATAGTTCTCGCTTTCTCACATAATTTTTTTGTTGTTGCTGTAATTCCAATTCACTGAGATACAACTTGATTAGAAGATATATCTTTCTTTTTGACTGTGTGGATATTATTATTATGCGAAACAGCAATTACAATCAGGATTTTGGTAATCCTAACTGGCTATGGTTTAATTTATTTCAGATTAGCGAGATTCTACTGTTTGTGTTTAAATCGTTTTCGGGTAGAGTGTTGGTCAAAATTCATTTAAATTCAAATATTTTGATTATGAATTAATGCATAGCGTTTTCTAACACTACTTACAAACTTTTGGCACTTTTTACAGAAATTCTTCCATAGAAAATAGATGGTATCATAAAAAAATAAAACAGTAATAATTTATTTTTAGATATTTTTGTTAAGAATTTTTTTAAAAATAAAAAAAACTTAAATATAAATAAAAATTATTAAATCATTTTGTAAAATGCCCTATTTTAATTCTGTTGTATTTTATACTCATTGCATCCTATTCTGTTTTTAATTCTGTGATATCATATGCTTGTTCTTATCGTGCTACTGTTCACACAAATGTATTTACGCGATACACAAGTATCGCGCAAATATACTTTCGAAGTATAGGGTAAACTAACCAGTGAAGGAACACTTAAGCTTCGCTTGCCTTTTAAAAAATCATATTAATTTCAAAATTCGTAATTTCAGTTAAATGACAGTGTCAACATATTTGTTACTAATTGCAAACTATGCAAAAAAATTGTAGAGAACTTACATAATATTGTTTTAAAGTTTTGGAGGTTCAAATAACAAGTAGTGAGAAGATCTAAGTACACTNATTGAAAATGATATTAAGTGAAGACAATATTAACATTAGGATTCTAAGTAGATTCTACTAAGCCATAAAATACTATTATTGTTTAAGTTCTTTGCATTTATATAATGAAAGAAAATACGTACATAGTACATTACATTAATAGTAGGTAGATTAATAGTTAGTGATTTCAGCAATCTACCTATATTTTATATGATTAAAAAAAGAAGACAAGTATTTTAATGATTTGTAACATATTTTTCTTTAAAAAAGATAATAGTACATTTTTCAAAGTACAACAAGAAGTACATTTTTTTAAAAAAGGGTAAGGCTGTAATCATATAAATTTTTATAATCAAAATTTATGCATGATAAAAATTTTAATTTTTTTTCAGTTTATTCCTTTTCCCCCCTTGTTTAAAGAAACTACAGGCACAAAATATATTCATATTCAAGAATATGTACTGTATTATATAATTCCATGCATTCCTCACAGCTAATTGAAAATGACTATTTGGTGGTTTGAACTAAACTGTCAATTCTTCTGGTATAACAACAATATATTTCACAGTCCTCATCTTTTACTTCATTTTTGAGATCAGCTCTAACTGAGTCTGGGTTATTAAATGCTGCAGTACAAAAACATTTTACATTTCAGCTTTTATACAAGATTTAAATAAGTAAATTTTTGACCAAATATATATCTAACTAATAGTGGCACTCATGCGAGCTGGACAAACAGGCACAGGATTTTACAAAGAGCAGATTAATTTTTATTTACTTATCATAATGAGATAATGAATATCCAAATGACACAAAATCGTTTAAGGGAATAGGGGAAATCTTAGTTATGATAATCGGTCTATTGAATAGGTCATGGAAAAATATATTTCTCACAAGTTAGAAAAGGGAAAAAAGTTAAAATATTAATTAAAGCACAAAATGAATTTTTTTTTACATATTTCTCTATTTAATATGTGTTGCATCATAAATATCTGAATTTGACGCTGAAACACATTATGTATTTTTACAGTTATGGCGAAGCTTTATTACCTGGTGAAGGTGCAGCTATGGCTGCTTATGTTGCTGAAGGAAAAAGAATTCCCCGAAGAGGAGAAATCGGTTTGACAGGTGATCAGATAAAAAAATTTGAAGCTGTTGGTTATGTTATGAGCGGAAGCAGGTAAGTTTCCCTGCAAATTATTATTATTAATGATGCTTCTTATAAAATGATGCTTCTTATAAAAGTGTATTCATACATTAATTAATGTTAGTAATATGTAAAATTATGCTGATATCATTTAGTCAGATATCTCGCTTTTTTCTTAAGTTTAAAAAAAATTTACTACATAAATCAATACTTAAGACTACCGATCAATAATATTAAAAAAAAATTTGTTCTGTAAAATTATGTTAAATCGGTATTTTATTCTCACATTATGAAAGCCTACTATTCGATAGTAACCAGTTATAAATTTAATCTATCATTCATCTATTCTAGAATATGCTTAATTATCTAATTGGTTTTTCGTTTTTTTATTGAAAACCTATAAAATCAACTGTGTAATGTTTGGCATTGAAGTTCAGATTTGCTTTTTTTAAAAGTAAAATGAGACGAAATTTGATTTAGTAAGATCAGGAAAATGGTATTTTATTCAGCTAGGGTGGTTTTTGTCATTGGTGGTTTTGACATTTTAATTGCTAGGAAATGTTCCCACTTCTTTTTGTACAATTTTGGCCCAAGCTAATTCTCCTTGCCCTCCAATCAGAAAATTCTAGTATGATGATTAATTTTTCTCCTGTCTTATTCCAGATAGGCGGGTGTTTGAGTGAAAAAAATTTCAGTATCTTTTTTACTTACAGGACCGTTTGTAGGTTGAAAATGGAATAAGGTTATTTATAAGCGCAACCATATGGGAGAATAAATATATTAACTTTCTGCCTGCAGAACCACCACCGGGTTGTATAATGTACATTAAAGCAGTTAATGATAATTAAACCAACTCACCTATGCTTTGTTATTTTATGTGTACTGTAGGATCTTAGTTTAATACATTTTCATCAATAAACTCAGAAAATTAAGTGCTTTTTTTTTAAATAATAGTTCTATTATTTATTTAATATGATCATTTAATAATATGTTTTAGTCAAATAAGTCTAATAATTTTAAAATTCACTTGCTTTATTACTCTTAATGAATGGTAGTATTCCTTTTTTCTATTTTTGGTACAGAGCGTTTAATTACAAATCGTTACTGGATTTTATTGATTTATAAAATCCTTTGTAAGATCTTTTTTTATTCCCTTTACATTATATTAGATTTTTCTTGCAAAAATCATCCACTTCTCTTTATCAGCATTAAAAGCCTTGATGGCCAAACTAAACTACTACTAATAATAATGAAAAAAAGTTGGAGCAACAAAATTATGATTTTTAGATTTTTTAGCGAAATCAAAGCAAGTGACTTCTTCAACTAACAAAATGCTTGTTATTTGTAGAAAATGATCAATTCTATTTAGCCATGCAAAGCAAAAAGTGTTTTTTTTTCTTTTTTCTTTTCTTCTTCTTTCTCCTGAGCACCGCCTCAGGGAAGATGTTGAGAAAAATAAGACAGCCTTTTATTGAAATTAAGAAAAGAGTTAAAATAAGACAACCTTTTATTGAAATTAAAAAGAACTGTAATCATGTTTAAAATAACTTTGGAATAAATATTGATTAACGGAAGTTAGGATGAAAAAGACTCAATTAAAACTTAATATAATTTTCATAGTTTACCTTTCACATGCTTTTTATTGAGATTAAGGAAAAAATTATATTCATGTTTAAAATAACTTTGGAAAAATTATTCATTAACAGAAGTTACAATGAAAAAGACTAAAATGATCAAGATTCTACTACATGAAGAAATCTTTATCTTATTTCAAATTATCAATAATATAATTCAAATTAATTTTATGAAGAATCAAATCTGAGTGAAATCTCAGATAACTATTAAGGTTAACTTTAATTTATTATGCTTCTCTTTTGTACTGAGATGTTATTTATTCTATTTACATAATATTGAAAAAAATGACACAAATACTCCTTTTTAAGTATTTCCTTCTGCAAATATACAGTTAAATATTCTCCAGAGTGTAAAATAACCTAAAATAGATTTTATCATTTACCTTAAATGACTTTTGCATGCATGCTATCTTTAGTAAATTCAATTGTTAATTTGGAATATAACGGTCGCAACATAACGCAAATTATGATGTGAACTAGTTTTTTTAAGCTATTTATTTGTGCTGGATTTTTGTCTACAATATTTTAAAATTTTACAATATTTAAATTAAGTTTTATTTTTACCTAGACATCGACGTATGGAAGCTGTGCGATTGAGAAAAGAAAACCAAATTTACAGTGCTGATGAAAAACGTGCACTTGCCAAGTTCAATAGAGAGGAGAGACAAAAGAGGGAGTCTAAAATTATTTCTCATTTCAAAGAAATGATTAAAGTTGCCAATGATAAAAGTTAAAAATATGTTTCTGATTAATTGTATTCTGTTCTTTTAAATATGAAAGCATGTAAATAAAACAAAATCTATATAAACCTTTACTATTTCATGTGTTCTTAATTATTAATAGTTTTGTCAAATTAAAATTTTTTTTTCCCTGTAGGTAACAGGTTTGGAAGTTTAAATTCAGGCAAATTTAAATTTCCCCAATTATCTTAATTTTGTACTGTTTGAAAGAGAGCCAAAACAAATTTATTAACTCTGAAAATATTTTGTGTTGACATGCATTTAAAAATCTTTGTCTGGCTGGGTATTCAGAAAGATTATATTGTACCAATCTGAAAATGTTAATATTGATCTCGATTGGCTGTTCTATGTCTATTCAGTCATCAAAAGAATTTACACAGAATGTGTCTGAGCTGCATTTAAATATGTCTGCAAAATTGAGAACCGAGAAGTTCAGTATAACAGTTGAAGATGTCCAAGATGAAAACACAAAGTTTCATTTCCAAAAAAATTTAGACAACAGCCACTTTGCCAATAGGCGGCGATCACAATTTACTTCATTTTGTAGTGAATCGTATTTATATTAGTATTTAAATATATTTTTTTTACAAGTCAATAGTTACATTTTAAAATAGTATGTTGATATAAACATTGGCTTTAATTTCTTCAAAATTATCTGAATTTCTTCTCTTTTTATGCAAGATAGTTCCTCTGTTCAACCTCTATTTTATCAGGGTGGCAACCCACCTTGAAAACCTGGAATTATCTGGGAATTTTTTTATACGGGAAAAATCAGGGAAATTTGGATAAAAACCTGGAAAAATCTGGGAATTTCAAAGAAAAGCTGGAATTTTTTTCTTAATTTAAAATATTTTACCATCTGTTATATCCACTTCTATTTAGATGTAAATTTATCATAAAAAAGCTAAAATATCATCAATTCAGCAATACTTTTTTTGCTTTAAAATTCTCTTCATTATTATTCTTCTAAACTAGTATGCCATTTCAAACTCTTTTATGTTAGGAAATGAATCAGGGTTCCCACAGGTCAGGGAAAAGTTGCAATTTTCTTACAAAAACCTGGAAAATTCCTTCATTATTCCTGGAAAAGAACCAGTCTTAAAATTGTCAGTAACGATACTCAGTTATTGAGATTCGAGTTAAATAATTCTAACATCTATTACAATTATTTATTGTAAAAATTTTACATTTTAGTCAAACTGAAATGCTTCCTTTCTTATATAATTTATATAATGATATTTATTTTACACAAAAAATCTAATACTTGGCATAAAAGAATCCACATTTTCTGATGAAAAATTTTGTAGTATAGATAAAATTTGGTATGGATTTTCATTGAGATATACCTGGAAAAGTCAGGGAATTTTTTTTCTGAAATTGAGTGGGAACCCTGATGAATGGAGAAATCTTTGACCTCTTTGGAGATTATGGGACTATGTAGTTTAAGAAAGGCAAAAATGTGGAGGAAAGGATTGGAATATTTGCTTCTGTTTATAAAAGCGTTTTTTTTCTTCCTTTTAGTCTGTGGGCTGAATTCATTAATTGTTAAAGTTTGTTCCGATGCTTTGGGGGTATTTTTTTTTCTTCTTTTTACAAAATTATTCAAAATGTTTTAGTATTTTTAATTTTATTAAATTCTGCAAATGGTAAATTTAATTAGAGATTTTATCTTGCACTCTTATTCTGAAAGCTTTTGTCCAATGAATTATTTTTCTCAGCAAAGCCAACCAATCGCTTATAGAAAAATTGTTGCATTGATGCTGATTTTCTGGATTTCATGATAACTTTTATTTTGGTATTTCTGAAATTGTTTCACCTTTTTACCCTACAAAGCTGACAAATACCAAGGAATGTATGGAAAACATGTTAAATGATGTATATACTTGGAAAGGAAATTTTTTTTTTTTAATATTTGTTTGTTAGAAAGAAGGAAAGCAAAACTTTGTTTTTTTTGTTCTGCGTTGTACAGGGACAGGTTTCAAGTCGGGCAACCAGGTGACAAAAATTTTAAACTTAATATTAAGTAAACTAGATAATGATTGAAATAATGATTTTTAACTTATAAATATCAGTTTTCAACAAGTCATAGGCTGTTAAATGAAGGGCAACTCATTTGAAATTTTCAACTCTGGTAAAGGGATCTGTAACTAAGTACAGGTTTTTTTTAAAAAAAAGAATTCACACTAATAATAGAAAATGGAAAAAAATAATAATTAAAGTTAACTATAACAAAACAGGTTGTCTTGCTTAAATATGTAGAAACATTTCTCATTTTGATTTACAAAAAATATTATCAAGATACACTTTTGATGTTTTACGTGCAACACCAAAATACATAAATAATTGTCCTGTAGCACTAGGATTTAATATAATCAAATAATTTTTTCTGTTTAAAGCAAGATTTTGATAAAAAAATATTTTTTATTTTAAATCAATAATTACTTATTTTTATACACCTCTCAGTCAGACACCACTGCTTTTCTTTTCATTACATTTGTTATTATTTATTTTTATCTCTTATTTCATCTTTTCTTTATGAGGTGAAGTAAAATATAAAGAGAATATAAGTATTCTTTAGGGTTAATTTACAATAATATATTTAACCTCAGTAACCTAAGGTTTGTATGAGGTTCGATTTTCGTTAGTCGTCGAAGAGGTGTTGGTGACGTCGTGGTCTACGGGGATCAATCAGTTTCTTTTCATTTGCTGTTGGTCGTTCTTGCGTGGATTTTGACGCCATCCTTTATCTGTTAAAGAGTATTTGAGCTTCTGTTGAAGCATTATTGTTTGTACTCAAATGAACTTAGTACTGGTAAGGATATTGAGAATGAGATCACTATTTTAACCAAGGACATTCAAGACGCCTATAATAGCGCGTCCTATAAAATGGAAATTAGGAATGATTACTATAAACTCCCATACCATATTAAATATCTTATCAAAATAAAAAACAAACTGAGAAAGGTTTTTCAAAGGACTAGAGACCCAAATATTGGGACGAAAAAATAGAGAATCTTACTACCACTGGAGTCGGAACCATAGGGAACCATTATTTTGAGAAAATATTTTTGTTCTGTTTCCATAACTTTAAATTTTTTCTTTCTCTCTCTCTCTTATTTTTACACAGTGTAACTTATTATATAATTAAAAGAAAATTAGTAAAAAATAAAATACACGCAGAAAAATACACTGTCTGAAAAAATAAAACGTGTTTAGAGAACTACAAGAAATGAACACTCAAAGTTCCATCTCTGCCGCATCTTTCAGCTTTAAAACATCATTAGATTAAGATTCACCCATGAAAACTAATACATCTACGTCTTTCAGTTTCAAAACTGCTCCTGATCGGACTACTTCTGCATCATCTTTCACATTCAAAGTGCCAGTGACTGATAAACTTCCAATTACTATGTTTTCTTCAAAAGATTTGAATGTTCCTGATCCAATTTATACTTCCATGGACCAGTTGTCAGAACAAGATAAAGATCAGTTTTCTGCATCCACTTTTACTTTAGGGAAAATACCTACAGTTCCTCCTCCCAAAGTATTTTGTTTTTGATATCTTATAAAAAACTTTTTTCATCGCATAAATCATCATTCTTTGGCCAAATACTGTCCTCAAACTGTCAAAATTATATCTTTTGCCTTCCAGCCAAAATTTAATGGCAAAAAATTGTATAAACAACAAAGGAAATTTTATTAATGTTTTTAATTTCCATAAACTTTAAAATAATACCCAGACTATAATTCCGAAAAGTCTAAATATTAGTTAAGGGTGTTGAAAATTTTAAATCTTTCGAAATTTTTGATTATTTTTTTTAAGAAAGTTTTTTCTTTGTGCCGTTTTGGTTGACTGCAATTTTCTTTTCCAAAACATGTTAAACAAAGACAAATATAGATTAAAAATTTAATGTGAAAGTGATTATTGAATAGTAAAAAAATTATGAAAATTATACTTTATTTTTTTAAATTTACTACTTTAATTTTATTAAAAAAAAGACAAAGTGTGCAAAATTTCAGTCAGAAAATATTACACATATATTTTGATTTTGTAAATCTTGCGTATAATTCATTACCTGAATTTTTTTTTTAATATTTAAAACGAAGTGATGATGTTCTTAGTACAGTGAGGAATATTTAAATTATTAGCAATTGCTGTATAAACTGAATTCATTGCGATCCATAGAACAATTTTTACTTCTAAATTTTTTTTTCCAAATAATATTGTCCACCTTTATTTTATTACATAGTATTTAAACCTCACACCCGTTTGCTTTTTATTTTAAAATTTGTTTTATTTTTCTTATTTAAATGCTGTTGATATTATTCTTTGATTCTCTTATATAAAGGAGTTAAAGGAAAAATTATGTTTTATAAAGTGGAACTTATAGTTTGTATATATTTTGTATGATATTTGAAATAAAAAATATTTTTAGGAGCAGACTCTAATGCCTTTTCCTTTTTTTTTTTAATATATCACTTTTTGTACTGTAAATTATTTTGTTTCCAGTCATTAATAGAGACTTATTTGGCTGTATTAGAATTTTTAACTTTCGAACATTATACTTTTATAAATTTTGGGGACTTAGCTTTTAAATTGGTTATTTTCAACTTGTATATAACATCTGAAAGTAAAGATGTAAATATAAATAGTTCTCGCTTTCTCACATAATTTTTTTTTTTTTTTTTGCTATATTTCCAATTCATTGTGATACAACTTGATTAGAAGATATATCTTTCTTTTCAATTGTGTGGATATTATTATTGCGAGAAACAGCAACTACAATCAATATTTTGGTAATCCTAACTGGCTTTGGTTTCATTTATTTCAGATTAGCGAGATTCTACTGTTTATGTTCAAATCGTTTCTAGGTAGAGTGTTGGTCAAAATTTATTTAAATTCAAATATTTTGATTATAAATTAATGCATAGCGTTTTCTAACACTACTTACAAACTTTTGGCACTTTTTACAGAAATTCTTCCATAGAAAATAGATGGTATGATAAAAAAATAAAACAGTAATAATTTATTTTTAGATATTTTTGTTAAGACTTTTTTTAAAAATAAAAACAACTTAAATATAAATAAGAATTATTAAATCATTTTGTAAAATGCCCTATTTTAATTCTTACCCTATTTTAATATTTTATACTCATTGCATCCTATTCTGTTTTTAATTCTGTGATATCATATGCTTGTTCTTATCGTGCTACTATTCGCACAATAGTATTTACGCGATACACAAGTATCACGCAACTATACTTTCGAAGTATACATACGTCCCGCAGTGGACTGATCGTTAAGACATGGTTCCCAGCAGATCACCGAAGTCAAGCATCTCTGGCTGCAGTCAGTGTGCGGGTGGGTGACCACTTGGATCAGTCTGCGTAGGGACCGAGGGTGTGCGGTATTGGTCCTCGTTAAACTGTGCTACCGTAAAGTGCTCGACTTTGCGCGCAGGTCGTCGGGCTACCGAA